CGTTATATATAATTAACATTCCTGTATCCAAAATAGACTGGTACCACCATGGCAGCCACCTGCAGATTTTTTTGTTAACCTTTTGTTAGCTTCCCAAAACTTACATATATTATGCTCTTAGTCTAAGAGAATTAAATTTGTCCTTTTTCACATACTAGACCTAACTAATTGGTGAAATAATGATGGGAAAAAACAATCTTTTGTCCTTGGAAACCATACAGATGCTATAACAGTGCAACACACGAATGGACGCATTACTTTATAAACACGTACTTTTGTGGCTTCACATGCGTTTATTGAAATTATGACTAAACAGAGACAACAGCCGGATCATAATTCAAATTTAGAGAATGGATCAACCCCTAAGATCTTCCAGACGTTTTCCGCATCAAAATTGCAAAAACTGGTCTGTGGACTTTTTAAAGCAAATTATGTCGTATGGCCTCGAGCTCGACCAAGAGAGAGCGCTATTCCCTCAGCAACGGAGGCTCCTTTGGTACTACATGTAACTGCTCATCGCTGGTTCACGAACGACTAGGAAAAGCAAGCGTTGCAGTCGCATCGCTACCAGCAATACTCCCGACCAACGCGGCTCTTTTAAATCGATGAGGGGGTGCTTCTGCACAAGGTGGAAGTACAACGGCGCCAATTCTTGATCAGAAGCGCGCTGAACTAAAACAGTGGGAGGATTTTTGTGCAATTATTCCATTGCTTGATCTTTATGGTCGATCCGTTCTACTAAGGGAACACATCCGGAGCAGTCCGACCACAAGGCTGACTGCACCAGCATGTCACGACGTAATGTCGGACGCCTCGTGTCAACTTTCAATGCATGCAATTTATTATTTTTTTTTCTTTGGGGGCTAATATTCCTTGATTACATCCAGCAGCAGGCTGAATTACGAAGAAGGTAGTCACAACCGTTGTGCAGCTCAAGGCATGTCACACACTCACCTAATGGCTCTAAGATGACCTTGAAACGCTTTGGAGATGGTTCTTTATAGAGGGCGGAAAAAACAATGCCAAACAGAGGGATAGTTTCTCTTAGTAAATTGTCATGAAGTCACCGTACTTTATCAGATTGGTTAGGCCTATACCAGCTGTTATAACATACCTCAACCCCAAAGCACAACACCACCAAATGTCTTACACCCGTTTCAGTCAGGCGTTCTAGAGTCGCGCCGAACCAAAAAGAAATAAGACTGACTCGGTTCAGACCGACGAACTTAATACATACATTTACATTGAGTTCGGCCCATGAAAGGAGCGACGACTGAAGCCAAGTCGTTGTGGTGTCATTCCGAGCGCCTTCAATTGTTGATCTTTCGCCTGCTAGCCCGCCTCGTCGCTTCTACTAATTGTTTCAGACGTCGCACTTTCGCCGGTAATTAAAAATTTGCGTTTAATTTGGTTCGGCGCGACCCTAGAACGCCTGTGTGAAACGGGTAAGAAGCCGGGGCTCCAGACATACTACGTATAGGAACCACTTCAATTAGCCGTCTAGCGTGGCCTTTCGTAACACCTTATAGTGTGCAATAATGTAAGAGTGTGTCCTCGTCAGAAATGTTGCGTGAAAACAAATACTACCTATTTCAGCATAGTCTGCCAACTGACGGCATTTGGAACTCAAAAGGTTCGAAACAAGACTCCCTGGAAGGAGTTTTATTACATCCTATTTGCTTTGGCCTTTTGGCGATCCAAAGAAATGCCTCAGTGAACACAAACAACCGAAATTGAGTTTGTACCACTCGTGAATATGAAAAAATTCAACATAAAACCCCAAAGGCACCAAACTAACCTTTACAACAACAAAATAACTTTGAAAATAAGGTTAATTTAGACATAAGCGAATTTTCAAAGGCTAGTTTGAAAAAAAATGCACTGCACATAGACCTTTTAAAATGGACAGGTTTTTGCTTGCACCATTTTGGGGGGGGGACACGCTGTATATATTTATGGGTTGAAGGGGATTCAGAACCATGATTACGCTTGGGGAATCTAACAAGTGTGCATTTTGTATTTACATACATTACGGAAGGTCCCTTGGCATGCATAAATAAAGGAGATTGCATTTTTCTCTGTTCCTGTCAATACGCTTAAAAAAGAATTTCCAACCCTCAGTTTTCCAACGTATTTTCCCACTTAATTTATTAATACTTAATGGTCTGCATGCCTACGGTTTGATGAAAGAAAAACAAACAAACAAACAGGGATGCTGGTGGCCTCTTGTAAAGTTATTCACGAAATTCCTGAAATCAAGAGCACTTCAGGAGGGACGTCTTGCTCATGATACTTTCTGTGGGTGGATTAAACCAAGTGAGACTCCGCGGCGAATACCTCAGAGGAGCAAAGACAAAGATGTGTGACCCTCTTGAGTTCAACAAGCGAGAACATCGCCGATGCGACGTCGCCTGCGGCCTGTCTCGAAAGTAATCTCATCATTTTAGAAGAATAGGCCTGACAAGTTCGGAGGGAAGAGGGATTTAGCTCCGATAGATTCCCAGGTGATTCGTCGCAAATTGCAGGAAGTAATCACACCAGGGTATTTCAAAGATCTTTAGTATAAATGGGCAGAGGAACACCTGATCACAACAGGTCTTTCAAGCAGGATATAATTTTCTCGAGTAAGTATACTTTCTGTAAGTAATAGTATTTACGTGTATGCGCAGCAAATACAAATTTATCAAAATATCAAAATTCATTTCGATCATTCACATTAAGAACTGATTTGTTCTCAAATGATGACTGTACGTCCCTGCGTATATACAATCCATTACAATATCCGTGCACTAAATTAATTCATCAACTTAAAGCGCTTGGAAAGCATATTGTCACAGCAGGACGATCACAGTTATTACAACTGTCTACTGGTGGTCGAAATCTATTGGACGGATGAAAAGTGAAACGAGTTTTTGTCAGCAAGGCCTCTCAATCACTGAGCCGCAGAAGCGTGTTTGCAGTGACCGTAGGACGGACAAAAACTTCGTTCGCAAGCGAATATCCAGAGAATGGACTTTCTTGCGTCTCCAATATATCTATGCATTACTATGGGTGTGCACCTGTCTCACAGGTCTACCAAGCGAGTTTAGCAAGTTGTCATCCGATAAAGCTGTACAATTTCTTCATTCTCCTACAGGAGCTGAGTCTTTCAGGGCAACATTTTAGTTCAGGGCGTAATAAGGATTACGCTGCCTCAAAATATAATGCGCGTTGATGTACCAGCTTTTTTTTTTTTACAATAATACGTTGATGTTATCGTAGTCCTGTATTGAAGTCGCCATAAAACCTTTCATTTTTACTCTCAGATACATCATTGAGACTTCATGCCATGTTACTGACAAAAGGGACGACGCAACCACAAGGTTTGAAAGGCTCTTGCGGTGTAAGCACTCACAATGTCAGACACGGTCTTTGAGGCGACTATCCGGCACAACTTCGGACACACCAAACACGGGCATATAAGGTACCGCTTTCAATAGTCAAGCCATAAACTCATAAACAGCTTAGCCCGTTGCCTATTCCAGTCGAGGAAACAATGGACCATCCTGCTGGTTTCAATGTGTCATAACAAGCCCCAGTCCCCTTGGGATGTGTAGAAAACTACACTGACATTGCGGGATCATGAACTGTAATCATATATCTACACGACAAACACACAGAACACACGGAAGCTCTACCTTTTAGTGAAGTTGACTGGCACTAAGTTCAATAGATTGTACTGAATATGAAACAGCAGAAGGACAATACGCTCATAGGTAGGTTCGGGACGATACTTTCCAGAGAAACAATATTAACAATATGAAGTATGACTGCGGCTTTCAAAAGGTCACCTTGATATCTGAATGGACTGGAGACCGAACCCGGCATTTGGCACTTTATTGGTGCAATTTCTGTCTCTAAACTAAATTGAAAAGAATGTATTATATTCTGTACATCACTTTAGGCTGATTGTGCATAAACCTCTACACCACTTGGTACTGAAGGCAAGGAAAGGTACAGGGGATACGACAAGCGAGGGTAATGCGACCACTCTCACAGGGGCCCCGGTCAGACTTGGAGATCGTTGGCAACAATTCGTTATGTTCTTGTGACATAGGGCGGACTGAGAATCAATCTCTCTGTGGGGCCAATCACTTCTTCCTCTACGCTCTCTGCTCGGTAAAAGAAACTCATGAAGTGTGGAGTCTAATGGCAGCACTAATTTCTGTGGAAAAAGACTTGAAAACGAAAGATGGCCTCTGTAAAAAAAAAAAAAAAAAACATTCTTAGTATCTTTTAGAAATAAACGCCCCACTTGTCACGAACACGTCATTCCAAGGGACTCGCCATAATATACAGAACCATTAACAAATTCTGAGTTCCAGTCACCGGATATAGGTTTGGCAAATTAC